TATAGACTAGTCTATTGTATGGCCTATAGTCTAGCCTATAGTCTGAACTATAGTCTAGCCTATAGTCTGAACTATAGTCTAGTCTATAGTCTGGACTATAGTCTAGTCTATAGTCTAGACTATAGTCTAGTCTAGTCTATAGTCTCGAATATAGTCTAGTCTATAGTCTCGACTAGTCTAGTCTATAGTCTCGACTATAGTTTAGTCTATGGTCTGGACTATAGTCTAGTATATAGTCTGTACTATAGTCTAGTCTATAGTCTCGACTAGTCTAGTCTATAGTCTCGACTATAGTTTAGTCTATGGTCTGGACTATAGTCTAGTATATAGTCTGTACTATAGTCTAGTCTATAGTCTGTACTATAGTCTAGTCTATAGTCTGGACTATAGTCTAGTCTATAGTCTGGACTATAGTCTAGTCTATAGTCTCGACTATAGTCTAGTCTATAGTCGGGACTATAGTCTAGTATATAGTCTGTACTATAGTCTAGTATATAGTCTGTACTATAGTCTAGTATATAGTCTGTACTATAGTCTAGCCTATAGTCTGGACTATAGTCTAGTCTGTAGTCGGTACTATAGTATAGTCTGTAGTCGGTACTATAGTATAGCTATAGTCGGCACTATAGTATAGCTATAGTCTGGACTAGAGTCTAGTCTATTGTGTGGACTATAGTCTATTCTATTGGCTGGAATATATACTAGTCTATTGTCTGGACTATATTCTAGTCTATAGTCTTGACTATAGTCTAGTATATAGTCTGTACTTAAATAATTAGGTATACACATGTGTTTAAGAAAATGTGATACATTGACTCCTTGTAAAACTGCTGGGTATACTGTAGTGTATTTAAAGGATATTTAAAATATCTCAAACAAGTATATAGTTTTTTATTTAGATTTTTCTTATTATAACTTGTTGCATGTACACATGAACTCATACATACATAATACTTACATACACATAATAATGATGTGGTTGATGTTGCCTCTAACAACAACAACAACGCATAAGAATAACAACTGTATAAATAGTTTTTGTAATAAGGATTTAAGACGACAACCATTACAACATTCCATGTCCTTATTAGATTTTCAGAACAAATGTATGTAATTGTACTTATGTATATACAAACATACATATGTATGATGTATGTCAACACTGGTGTTGCGGCTCTTAATAATAATATATTAGATATCCTATTACGAATATTTAAAAAGAAAAAAAGCGAAAAAAAAAAACAGAAATCCTTTTATAACACCATGACATCAAAAGTATTATGTATAAGTTGTTCCAGTATAAATGGTTGCGCCTCTAAGGGAGGAGGTTCATGGGGAGTTCCTGTCATTTTGGTATGATATAGAGGAGATAATTTTATGCAAATATTATTTGCATTTATTTCTACTTCCTTACAATTTATTACTTCTTGTTTATTGATTTATTGAAAAGCAGTAAAAGTAAAATGTATTTTAACAGAAATTTGCTCAGAGGCAGAAATAAAAATGCTTAAAAATTTCCATTAAATGCCTGTGGAAAAGTTTTTTGTTGTGTTTTTTTTTTTTCAAAGAATATTTAAATAACATTGTTCGTGTTTCATAATCTAAAAGGAATAATGTTTTAAAAGAAATTTAATAAAAAAAACTTGTAAAATAAAAAAACTTCAGGTGTGTGAAGGAGTATGTTTATAGAATTTGTCATAAGCTTAAGCCTTAAAATAAAAATATTCTTTATTTTTTGCACTAAGAGCCCAATGGCGATTTTTAAAGGCTACGTTTTTATAAATACAAAATTAACTGAAATTTAAATGTAAGTTTTTCATTATAATATATTAGATAGATTGTTAGATAACCTATAGTAGGGTTATAGCCTAGCCAATAATATGATTTATAGTATGGACTTTAGCTAGCTTATAATATGGACAATAGTATTGCCTATAGTCTAGCATATAGTGCAGCAATTAATCTATAATATTGTCTTGGTTATAGTCTGATCCATAGTCCAGACTATAGACTATATTATTATCCAGATTCGGATATAGTTTCGACTATAGTCTTGACTATAGTTGACTATAGCTTGGACTGTAGTCTTGACTATAGATTGAACTACAGTCTTGACTATAGTTTGAACTATAGTCTTGACTATAATTTGGACTATAGTCAACATTATAGTCTTGACTATAATATAAGACTATAGTCTTGACTATAATTTGGAATATGGTCTTGACTATAGTTTGAACTATAGTCTTGACTATAGTTTGGACTATAGTCTTGACTATAGTTTGGACTATAGTTTGGACTATAGTCTTGACTATAGTTTGGACTATAGTTTGGACTATAGTTTTGACTATAGTGTAGACTATAGTTTGGACTATAGTCTGGACTATAATATCGACTATAGTCTTGACTATAGTTTGGACTATAGTCTAGACTATAGTTTGGACTATAATTGACTATAGTCTAGACTATAATTGACTATAGTTGACTATAGTTTGGACTGTAGTCTTGACTATAGTTTGAACTATAGTCTTGATTGTAGTTTGGACTATAATGTTGACTATAGTTTGGGCTATAGAGTTGACTATAATTGACAATAGTTTGGACTATAGTCATGACTACAGTTTGAACTATAATCTTGTCTATAGTTTAGACAATAACCTTGAACATATTTTTTGTACTATACTCTTGATTATAGTGTTGATTATAGTTTGCACTATACTCTTGGCTACAGTTTGGGCTGCAGTCTTGACTATAATTTGGACTATAGCCTTGACTATAGTTTGGACTAGGCTCTTCATTATAGTCTTGACTATGTTCTTAATATAGTTTGGACTATAGTTGTGTTGTATTTTCTCACTATATAAACTATATCATTATGTTGACATATTAAATCATGCATTAAAAAAACATGGGTTCAATATTAGTTTAATTGAAGTGGAACAAAGTCCGTCTAGACTAGTTACTTTTTCTTTCAAACTCTTACAAAGCCCCACCCACCGAAATCCTCAAATATTTAATTGAATCTAATTAATCGTATAAGACAAATTGCTGAACATGAGTGATTACAACGCTTAGACGACAAATTCTAATTACCACACGAAACCAGACAACAATTAAACAAAGTGTACTTTAATCTAAAACAAAGGGCCGATGATGAGGATGGAAATCTATATTATTTAAAGTTTTGCTAACATCAAGGATATTCAATATTTAAAACACAAGTATAGCGTTTGACCGTGGTAATATGAAAAAAGTGTGTTTGTATTGAAAAAGGCATGAACATAAAAATGTCAAGGTTTAGAAATTTCTTTGGTTATTTTTTTTTTTTTTTTGTAATTTAAAATAAATACTAGATTTCTACTTACATTTTTCCAAACTGGCATTACAAAATTTCAAAGCATCATCGAGTAGATTTAAATGCATATAACTGGTAGCAGTCTCATTGATTTTTTTCGCCTGCAAATCGGCACCCCACCATTTCTCTACTAGACGTCGTACTAAAACATCGGGCATAAATTTCATATTATCATTGGAACTGGTAGAACGTAAGGCTACACCACTGGTAGAGGCGGTGGAAGCCATGGTAGTAGTAGCCGTATCAGTGGTACAGGCTATGGTAGTGGTAGTAACGGTAGTGGGCGAGGCCAAGGGTGTGGCAATGATTTGTAGGCGTGGCAAATCGTGGAGAGTGGTGGAGGAGGATGAAGAGGAGCTGGTGGCAGACAATGAGGTAGTATAGGAAGAAGTTGTTGAAGCATATAATGGTTGTTGATTGTGGTTATTGTTAACCAAGCTATTGATATTTAAATCCATACTGGTAGTAGTGGTGGTAGCCGTTGAAAGTGTTGCTAGGGATGTATTAAATTGTAAGGATTGTTTGTTTGGACTTGAAAGCCAGTACTGTTAAAGTTGCCATTGTCATTGATGCTGCCGCCAAAGTCATCCTTTTGCCAGCGTGGAAATTTAATATGACAAATGTTGCACATAGTTATGGTTTCACAACACTGACGACAAAACGTATGACCACAATTGGCGGTCACTGGACAACGCAAAACATCACGACACAGGGGACACAATAAAGGATCAAATTCCTCAGGCATTTGATTATTATTAGCTGCAGCTAGTTCTCGTGAGGGTGAGTGTAAATCCAAATTACCACCCACAGCTGCAGCCAGAAAATCTGTACCTAAATCCTTTAATTTTGAAGAATGTGTGCTTAACCGGATGCTGCCAATTGCCAGTTTTAAAGGCATTGGCGGCCGGCGAAGAAGCATATTTATTTCTTAGCGGTGTTATTAGTTTATGCTGTTCACTATTCCCCGATTTGGAGGTTATGGTGGTGGCCTTTATGGGATCCATTTCGGCATCCACTAAATCTGTTTTATTTTTGGAATTTGAGCTTAAAATGCGTATGTGTTCTAGGAGAGCTGTAGCCAATATATTTAACTTTTCCAGGGGTATAAAACCCTCGGGTTGCTCACTGGCTATGAGAGCATAAATATCGAAGGCCTCTTGCAAACGACCATGTCGTGCCAAAGACTCCCCCAATAAATAGGAAAGTTGTAAATTATTGGCCGTTTGGCCGGCCATTAAAGAGGGCGTTCTCAATTTTATATTTTCATTACTGCGTCGTGGTCTTTTCGCCTCCTCATGAGTAGGGGCTGTTGATGCAGAGGAACCCGAGGCGGCATTCGTTTTCAAAGATTTGAGACCTCGTTTACTGGCCAAAGCCCCCTTAACATAGAATCCGTGAGATAGTGGCATAGTGTCGTGGCGCAATACCTGTGTTTGATCACGTAAGCAATTTTTGGTTCTTGTTGCGCCTAATGCTGCTGCTGCCGCGATTACAGCTGCTGTTGTTGTTAAGTTGTTGCTGTTGTTTCTTGAATCTGTAAAATTGTAGCCAGCAGCTGCGTTTACCGTTGCTGCTGCTGTTCCGGCTATAGATTTGATTTGTAGCAGAGAAGAATTGAATTTTGATTCTTTATCATCAATTTGAAATCTGAGTAATTTTCTTTAATTAACAAGTCCGGCGTCGGTGACACTGAGAGTACGTAACGTTTGTTGGACTTATTTAGGTTTGTACCAGTGACAGAGCTGGTGGCAATACTTAACGGATGTTTTCTTTTCTTTTTTATTTGAAATTGCTCAGTAGCACTTTTAGACATTATACACAAATTTCCAAGAAATTTTTAATTATTTTTTTCTTACAATTTTTTCCACTAATAATTTAAAAATAAAATTTTTAAATTTATTGCAAACTTTTTTACAAACACATTTTTTTCTTTTTTGTTACAAAAATTATATAACTTTATGGAAAGAATAAATTTTTTGTTGATGCACTTTTGATTTTAATTATTTTGTTTTTCACTTGTATTTTTTATAGATTAAATATGATCCGTTAAATTTGAAAACGCTTACGCTTTATATCCGTTGTACATTGACGACAGACTGCATTCACTTTGAAACCGTCTTTGTTCCGTTTAGGTGTTATATGTGTTGATTATCTGGAAAATAAAACACAACAAAATAATGAAAAAAAAAAAATAAAGAATGAACTCGAAAAATAAAACACACAAAAACAATGTATTTTGTTTGGAAAAAACACAAATACAAAAATTTTATATCAACAACAAAAATATACAAACACACTTTACGTAACATTAGATTGAATAAAATTATATGAGTGTATGTACGGATATTCATACATACATAAGTACAAATTTCTATATATGTATGTATGTTTGTCTCTATATATTTGTTTGTATTTATCAATAAACAAACAAAAAACAAGAGTAATTTTTGTTTCCCAAAAATAGAGTTCTAAGAGTGGAGCTTGTATTTGTATTTGCTTGTGTGAGTTTACTAACAGTAACATTTTGGAGTCGCATTCTGATTTATTATGAACAGAAAATCATAACATTAACATGTAAGAGTTTGATTACATCAATAACATTACAATGCAAGTTACATCATGTTATATTTGAAAGTGTTTTGTTTAACAATTACAACCTTATTAAGATTCTATTAGGTGAAAATAAAGGGCTGCCAGACGTTAACAATATTTGCTTTGGGAACTTCGACTTTAGTTTTAGTTCTAGTTCAGTACTAGTTCAGTTCTAGTTCAGTTCTAGTTCAGTTCTAGTTCAGTTCTAGTTCAGTTCTAGTTCAGTTCTAGTTCAGTTCCAGTTCAGTTTCTAGTTCAGTTCTAGTTCAGTTCTAGTTCAGTTCTAGTTCAGTTCTAGTTCAGTTCTAGTTCAGTTCTAGTTCAGTTCTAGTTCAGTTCTAGTTCAGTTCTAGTTCTAGGTTCTAGTTCAGTTCTAGTTCAGTTCTAGTTCAGTTCTAGTTCAGTTCTAGTTCAGTTCTAGTTCAGTTCTAGTTCAGTCTAGTTCAGTTCTAGTTCAGTTCTAGTTCAGTTCTAGTTCAGTTCTAGTTCAGTTCTAGTTCAGTTCTAGTTCAGTTCTAGTTCAGTTCTAGTTCAGTTCTAGTTCAGTTCTAGTTCAGTTCTAGTTCAGTTCTAGTTCAGTCTAGTTCAGTTCTCGTTCAGTTCTAGTTCAGTTCTAGTTCAGTTCTAGTTCAGTTCTAGTTCAGTTCTAGTTCAGTTCTAGTTCAGTTCTAGTTCAGTTCTAGTCGTCTAGTTCAGTTCTAGTTCAGTTCAGTTCAGTTCAGTTCTAGTTCAGTTCTAGTTCAGTTCTAGTTCAGTTCTAGTTCAGTTAGTTCATTCTAGTTCAGATCTAGTTCAGTTCTAGTTCAGTTTTAGTTCCAGTTCTAGTTCAGATCTAGTTCAGTTCTAGTTCAGTTTTAGTTCAGTTCTATTTCAGTTCTAGTTCAGTTCTAGTTCAGTTCTAGTTCAGTTCTAGTTCAGTTCTAGTTCAGTTCTTAGTTCAGTTCTAGTTCAGTTCTAGTTCAGTTCTAGTTCAGTTCTAGTTCAGTTCTAGTTCAGTTCTAGTTCAGTTCTAGTTCAGTTCTAGTTCAGTTCTAGTTCAGTTCTAGTTCAGTTCTAGTTCAGTTCTAGTTCAGTTCTAGTTTAGTTCTAGTTCTAGTTCAGTTCTAGTTCAGTTCTAGTTCAGTTCTAGTTCAGTTCTAGTTCAGTTCTAGTTCGGTTCTAGTTCAGTTCTAGTTCAGTTCTAGTTTCAGTTCTAGTTCAGTTCTAGTTCTAGTTCAGTTCTAGTTCAGTTCTAGTTCAGTTCTAGTTCAGTTCTAGTTCAGTTCTAGTTCAGTTCTAGTTCAGTTCTAGTTCAGTTCTAGTTCAGTTCTAGTTCAGTTCTAGTTCAGTTCTAGTTCAGTTCTAGTTCAGTTCTAGTTCAGTTCTAGTTCAGTTCTAGTTCAGATTCTAGTTCAGTTCTAGTTCAGTCTAGTTCAGTTCTAGTTCAGTTCTAGTTCAGTTCTAGTTCAGTTCTAGTTCAGTTCTAGTTCAGTTCTAGTTCAGTTCTAGTTCAGTTCTAGTTCAGTTCTAGTTCAGTTCTAGTTCAGTTCTAGTTCAGTTCTAGTTCAGTTCTAGTTCAGTTCTAGTTCAGTTCTAGTTCAGTTCTAGTTTAGTTCTAGTTCAGTTCTAGTTCAGTTCTAGTTCAGTTCTCGTTCAGTTCTAGTTCAGTTCTAGTTCAGTTCTAGTTCAGTTCTAGTTCAGTTCTAGTTCAGTTCTAGTTCAGTTCTAGTTCAGTTCTAAATCAGTTCTAGTGTAAACCTAGTTCACTTCATTTTAAGTTCACTTCTAGTTCACTTCTAGTTCACTTCAAGTTCACTTCTAGTTCACTTCTAGTTCAGTTCTAGTTCAGTTCTAATACAGTTCTAGTTCAGTTCTAATTCAGTTCTAGTTCAGTTCTATTTCAGTTCTAGTTTAACCATTTCATACACATTCTGGCAACACTAATTACCGTTAAATAATCCCCTTCTTGTGATACTTATGCTCTTTCAATTGAGAATAATTCTCAATCTCAACAAGTCTCTTGAAAAACTTTTTGTTTACATTTTTATTCACAAAATCTCTCTTTAGTTCACAATTTTCTCTTCTTAAAATACTGAGTAATACTTTTATGTAAACAAACAATTTTTTTAGTTGTTTTTATATTTTAGTCGGGTTTTTTCTTTGGTAGTTCCTATTTTTTTCTTGTTCCTGCTGTTATATGTATTATAGTGTTTATCTGATTTGTTTTTGACATATTTCTGACATGATTTTTCTGTAGTTTTCGCGTTAATGTTTTATGTGAATTGTTGTTGGTATTTTGGCGCGTTCTATTAGATACTCGCACATTTTTAGATTGACGCGGTGCTGTTAAATTGTTAAAAAAAATTAAGCATTTTTGTAGTTGTTTGCTAGAGTAAATAAATGATAAAAATATCGGATGCGTGCGCCCAAAAAAAAAAAAAAAAACTTTGATTGTCGGTCGGGGTTATTTAACACTTTATTAGAAATTTGTTACTGTTTATATTTATTTTTTTATTATTGTATTTTTGTTGTTACTTTTTATATATTAATTTTATTTTTTTCAATGACTAATAAAGTAGGTAATAAAAAATATAATGAAATTAATGGGGTGGCCAGTTGGGTATTGATGATTGGGGAATTCTACATATGCAATGGAATGAGTTTGTGGTGAATGGAATTGATTTGCGTCTTTAAGATGAACTTACTCATGGAAAACGAAACTGACATTGTAAATTGTCGAAAACTTTTGTTTCGGCCTTTATAGTGTTAATTTAATAAAACGTAAACTCAGTTCTACTTAAGCTTAAAAAAACACAACTACAATCACAATTCTTATTAAAAGAAAAAAACAACAAAAATATTAGCAATAGACAGCAACTCATTAAAAATAAAAACACAAAAGTTAATAATTGCTGTCTCTTCCAAAATAAATTTAAATAAAAAAAACGTTACGTAAAGCATTTAAACAATGTTGGCAAAAAAGTATTTCATTTAAATGTTTCGTAACATATTCCAGCAAAAAGTATTAAAAAAGAACACATATCAACAAAGTTAACATTAACAACCCCTAGAATACCCCAACTAAAACTATAAAAAAAAACATATAAATCTGGATTCTGGTCATTAAATATTCTCTTAATGACAGTGAACTGTCCACAGTAGAGATTCACAGACAGCAAACAATGCGGTGGACCTGTCATATAAATATTTCATATAATCACATCTATCTAAACATCAGTCCCATATAGTATTGCATAATATTAATATGAAAATTAACACTGAATCACGTAGACGAGACAATAAAAGCAAAAACAATGAAAAAGCAAATACAATTCAAATCAAATTCTAACAACAACAAAACTATCACATCAAAGTATATTGAATAAAATGAAATCAAGAAAACCAACAGATACTTTATTCATTGCTGTTGGTTCTACTACCTCAAACACATTTGCTGTTGTTGCTGCTGTTTGAGGTTGGTGGGGCCTTAAGTTTGATTGTGTTTGGTTTGATATCAAACAAAAACAAATCTCAATTAAATTGTGAAATAAAATGAACTGAAAGAGAGAATATGAACTACGAATAACAGAATGTAAAGGAGTGCAATAATTCCAAAGTATTAGTTGAAAGAATAACTTAACACAACGGAAACAACACCGAACTTATCCCGAATTACAGACTTTACCGTGTATCCACCCATGCACCCCGAAGGCATCACTCCAACACCCGGGACAAAACATAATTCGAAACTCTGCTCTATGGGCTACCGGTTCCCTGATTATGTGGTTCTCTGGTTCTATCCGATATCAAATCATTCCAAAGAAAGACCGAGAATACACTTGATCATCACCAGTTTATAGTCCCGGCAGATTAGAGATATTGGTAGCACAACTTTTCCCCAGGGTTTGGTAAGTGGAATCTGGTGAAAAAGTTAAATCTAGGACCTATACCCCGGACAAAACTAAATCCGATACTCTGCCCTATGGGCTACCGGTTCCCGTGGTACCCAATTATGTGGTTCACTGGTTCTACCCGATATCAAATCATTCCAAGGAAATACCGAAGATGCATTTGATCATCACCAGTTTATAGTCCCACAGACTAGAGGTATTGGTAGTACCTCTTTTCCCCGGGATGGGGGAAGTTCACCTAAGTAACATGCTCCTGGTGCGAATCTGGTGATAAAGTTAAATCTAAGACGGCATGGGATTGTATGAAAATTTTAACCGAATACTCTCTCAGAGGTAAGGTTTACATCATATGGGTACCAGACCAGTCGGGAGTAGTCGGCAACGAAATAGGGAATGTATTAGCTTTATGGGGAAGGGAGCTTGAGATTGTTAAACTAACGAACGCAAAACCATTCCACGCAACGAGAGCCGAATTAATAATATTGGTGAGGGGGAGTATTGAAACGGAGCGTAGAACCACAAAGATCCTTCTCAAAATGAGCAAGTCTGAGGTTAGTATGGGCAGTACTTTCTTTGGAGTTCTTTCTTTGCCATTGTCAGGAGCGAACAACAGTCCCGATAGTGGCCTAAGTGTGTTTCTTCGAATTTGATGTAGTATACATCCTCCTAT